AAGCCCAAAAAACATTTCTAAATATAACAGTCATTTTAAAATCACGTTTTGGCTCATCTCTACTCGTAACCAGCACCGTTCCTTGTTTAAACATTGACACTGTCACCAATTTCACAAATTGCATGTGACATTTTAAAAACTACATAGTTTAATTCGACTTTCGGTTCTAAAATGAAAATTTCAAGTAGGTGATATGCTCGATTCAGATACGTATCATCGCAGTGCCCCAGAAGCAGGTCGTTTCAAGCAAATTGAAGACGTGATAGACGCGCGTAAAGAGCTAGGCCAATACAATGTCCACAGACACCCAAATCCGCTAAAAAATCGATGTTTTTGCCACCCTTTGGAGATACACGGGGGTGTATCAAACATTTCGGACAAGGACATCGTAGTGCGAAGCACCGAATCGGAAATAACCATCTTGCGAGTTAGCGCGCTTTCTCCCTTGAAACTGAACAAGTGGGACGGGATCAGCGATATGGCTGCACCTGGCGACGGTACTCATTTAGGTGAAAATCCCTCAATGGTGAACTTGGCCACGCTCGTAACGCAGAACATCCAATCGGAGGGTGAGGAGGAGTACTTGGTGCCTCTGTCCTCTTGGGACTCATTCCTCAAAGACGATCCAGCACAGGGCCTGAAAAGATCTTCCGAGTCTAAAATCGGCGAAAAGTGCTGGCTGCGCAGCTGGAAAACTGATCCAACTATAGTGGTTCGACTGGAAAGTTCGGGGAGCGCTCAGAATAAAACGCCTGTCGAGGCGGAGCGACGGCGTCCAAGTTGGGCGGGGAAATTTTCGAAATTTTGGCGCCGCCACTGGCAAAGGTCCAGCTCGTTTAGGGACCCGAAACCGCCCGAAGCAAAACCCGATGACAATCAAAACAAACCACAGAATTGAGGTTAGATTTTACATTGCCAAACATTGTTGTTAACCGGGGCTCCAAAGGGATCATGTGCAATGTTTAGGTGATTTTTACCGTTAGCGAACAAGATACACAGAAAATATGGAAGGCTCTACTAGGGAGGAGGTGAGTGTTTAATTGCTTGGAAGTACGGTCACAATGTCTTGCTTAAATACAGTGTGTCCCACTCAAGATGGAAACAGTCCTGTATTTTTTGTATTTGTAGAAGGACGGTGTTAAGTTTTGGTACAAAAGTAAAACGTCATGAGCTTGCTTGTAACAACTAACAGTAAACCACACACAGTGGTCAATGGTTTCAAAACCAGTTCCGTTATGATGAATTAATATGATCAAATTGGCCGCGGTGATTTTTAAATGAATATCATTTGTCCTATAGACATATAGATATATAGACAGTAGAATCGGCTTCAATTGCAACAAGAAACCCTTAAAACCCATAAAGAATAGAGTGTTTCTCAGTCACATTTAATATCTCAGAAAGAACTGAAAAACGTCTCCTTCGAATTATACTTCGATGTTCGATCAGATAGTTCCAAAAGAATAAAGCAAATGAAATATATAATAATCATGACAAACAAGCCTTTGAAGTCTATTCGCCAAGTTTAGGCAGTTTGCTCTAGATTTTTTCAACATCCTGTAGTTGTTCTACTTTCAGCTTTCAGATATTGGGATCGAGCTTAAATTAAATTTGCTGAACTTTTATCAAGTTTTTGGAATTTTTTCAAGCACTTGATAGATAATTAATAATCCCGTTCAATAGCTAGAAATAGTGTTAGAAAATCTTTTTCATATCTGAAGTTCTAACTTCAGATATGAACTAAGCTTTCTAAATCGAGATTTTTTTTTGTTTGTCCGGCGGCTGGAGACATAAAAATATTTGCGAAGACACCCAGTGTTCCGAACCCTGGGTAGTGTTGGATTCTTACCAACTGAAAACCCCCTTTGTGTACTACGAGTTTTCGGGAGTTATCCTTTGAAACTTGTAGTCCTCTCTAAGAACTTGTCAGCTACGGCATCCGTATGCCATAGCATCGCATTCTCTCCATGCTAGCTGCTTGCTAGCATGGGCATCTTATTAATTTAACGCCTTACTTATACATATATGCTACCTACTACAAACACTACGTTATTAGCACACCTACAGCTTGCGCCGTCTGCCACCTGCTGCCCTAGTGGGCTAGTTGATGTCTGGGCCCTTTTTTCCTGGGTCCCAGATCTTCAGGAGTGTTTCGCAGTTCTTCGTTGGAGTGCCTTCCAGCTTTCTCGGAGTCTGCTTTAGCTTTCCTTGCGAGAAACTCTCTTAGTGGCTCCCACTCCAGGTTCCTGTAGATTTGGGAGTTTCTAACAAACCAGGGCGCATCTATAGCCATTCGCAGAAGTTTGTTTTCTGTGGCCTGAAGTCTATTCAAGTGGCACTCAACCGCATATCCCCACGCAGTGTAGGCATACGCCAGTGTCGGCCTGATTATGGTCTTGATGAGGAGTAGCTTGTTCCTAATACTCATCTGGCTTCTTCGATTGAGGAGTGGGTACAACTTGGCAGT